GAGGAAGGAGGGAAGGAGGGAGGAAGGGAAGGAAGAAGGGAGAAAGGGAGGAAGGGAGGGAGGGAGGGAGGAAGGAAAGAAGGAGAGAGGGAGGGAGGAAGGAAGGAGGGAGGGAGGAATGGAGGGAGGGAAGAAGGGAGGGAGAAAGGAAGGAGGATGGGAGAAGGAAAGGAGGGAGGAAGGAAGGGATGGAGGGAGGGAGGAAGGGAGGAAGGAGGGAGGGAGGGAGGAAGGGAAGGAAGAAGGGAGAAATGGAGGGATGGAAGAAGGGAGGGAGGAAGGAAGGAGGATGGGAGAAGGAAAGGAGGGAAGAAGGAAGGAAGGGATGGAGGGAGAGAGGGAGGAAGGAGAAAGGGAGAAAGGAAGGAAGGAGAGAGGGAGGAAGGGAGGGAGAAAGGGAGGAAGGAAGGGAAGAAGGGAGGGAGGGAGAGAAAGGAATTAATTCATGTTGTATAGCTTGTCTTGATCCCTCTTTGATGTGTGTATCATATCTGGAGAGATGCATTCTTTCCCCCTATGATTTCCTTTTCTGTATCTTCAATATATATCCAAATAGAAATATTAGATGTTACCCTATAATTAAACTATAACACAATTAAATCTAAGTGAACCGTTTAGCTTGGTTTTGTATGATATGCGTTCATGAAATTAACTCATAGTTTCAAGTTACTATGACTTGAAGCCCTCACAGAGTGATGTTATCGTCATTTGGTAGATGATCTACAAAACAGATTTGAAATATCCTAGCATTCATTTGCTTTCTTAATGGGCATGGTCACTGTGTAGGAATCCTATTCCTAAAGATAACAGGAACATCTCAATTCTAGACCAATGTGTTTCATTTGTTCTATTTTTACTGCAATTATTTTTTCAGGGGAGAGTAATAAATGGTCCAATAAATTACTCTCCTGAAAATAAATAAATAAATAAATAAGTCTAAATGTTGTCAACTATTCTAACTCCCAAAATAAATACAATAACGATACTAATAGTAATAACAACAACAGCAAGATCCTTCCAGTACGTGGCCGCCTCATTGTGTTCACACAGAACCTTTGGGCAAGTGATTGAATTTCCCCCTTAGCGGCTGTGCGTCTAGCATTACAAAATGGAAGAACTGGATGGTCTTGCATTGGGCAAATATTTCTGTAAATATGCTATTTTAAGACCAAAAATTGAAAATTCAATTTCCTCTAAGAAACACAGTTGCACATAACCATGTGTTACCTTTCCACTGACTCTTGTTTGTTAATCGGGCCACTCCCACAGCGTTGTCCACGCTGGGTCCCGTTGGCTCGGGAAAGCCTGCAGGAATCCATTCCAAATCTACTCTAAGGATGCCAACGTTCCCGGGAATATGTGACGCCACATAGATACAGATGACCACATAAGTGACAAATCTGTAGGTAGGGCCAACGTATCATTTTGTAATAAGGACAATTTGTAAATGTTTTAAATACAGGGGTACTTTAATATAAAAGAGAGGCGTATTTCTAGAAGTTAGGCACACAGGTCTTATCTAAAGACCAGCAGGCAAAGTCAGCCTTTGATCAGTCTCTGAGCTGCTTCTCCTCAGACTCCTAGGGCTGCTCCTTTCCATCTGGTCTCTGCCTCCCCTCACTGACATTGTTCAAATTCTGCCCATTATTCAAGTTCCTGTTCCCCGAGAGCATTTTTGAGCATGTGCATAAAATGTAATAAAGACTCTGGAGTATCCTTGTTTATTTGGTATTTTTCCAAGGCAGTTTCACTAGATTAAATTAGAAGGTTTATCACTTTATATTGAAGTGCTACCCCACCATCCTCCACCCTCAAAGCTTTACTGAAATAAATTGCTCTATTTCAAAGTTTTAATCTTTTGGCCTAATTAAGGGATTTCTATTCTGGTTAGAATATAAAGAATGCTCAGAGCTAATGGGCCTTTTTGTTCCAAATGCTACATTTAATTTCCTGTGAATAAAATTTTACAACATGGAAAACATGAGGTCTTACTGAAACACAAGTCAAATATGGTAATTATAGAAGCTACAAATTAATAAATAAATAAATCCTGCTCAGCTTCTATAATTATAGTAATTTTTAAAGCACATACTGTTTCAAAATAAAAGTTTTAATATGTCAACATTTAGAAATGTAATGCATCTATCTGAAAAATAACATAAGCAGTATGGCCCTGCATTAAAAATCATAGAGATGGGAGTTAATTTTACTTTTTAACAGTATTATTTAAATTTATATACTTATATCAGCACACAAAATTGATCATCTCATATTATTTTGTGAGAAATTTTATTTTTGTTTTCACTTTTTTTCTTATTTTTTGCTACATCTGCCTTCCTTCTGCCAACCTACATCACTCCATCCCATACTCCAGTATTTTGTCTTCTTTATAGATAATATAAATATGTAATTAGATGCTAATGTATACTGTTATGTGGTCTTCAGTGTTTTCCCCTAGAGGGTACACACCTGCATACACGTATACATACACAAAATTATATATAAGTTATTTATAACAAAAAAGGTAAGATCAAAATCTACATTTCTATGACTTGCTTATTGTTCTCATTCTTATCATTTGGAAATCCCTCCACATAAGCTGAAATACTTTTAATTTTTATTATTGTGCCTTTAATTAATTGCAAACAGAATATTTTATGCTTTATAGTATACCATAAACATTCATTCTTCTATTAATGCTCATTAATTGCATTTTTAGTTTTCCCACCAATTAAATATAATATCCTAGTACATGTGTGTGCATGTCTATTAATTTATTTTTACAAACTATATTTCCAGAAGTGAGATTGATGAGGATGAGGGAGTATATAATTATAAATATATGCACATGTGTGTTGTGTCTGTTTCCTTGTATCTTCCTAACAACTACAGAGTTTGTGTAGTTTCTCAGATTTTGTTTAGCCATTCAGAACACTTGGCTGATTGGTTTGTTTAGATTTTCCTTATCCATTTGAAATGGCTTTCTGTACATATATCTACACTATCTCTGTTCAATTTGTTATATAATTTTTACTATATTTTATTCTTAAAATATGCAATTTAATAATATTTTTTGCTATACTTAAAGAATTAAGTGCAATTATTACACTTACAGGTTTCTTTGCTAGTTTCAGAGTTTCCTAAACTAGGTTTAAATTTTTTTCTTTACTGCTATATTGAAAATGAAGGCTCCTTTATCTAATAATTATTCATAAATTTTGCACATTTGTTAATCTTTTCAGGAAATTAATTCATATATGGATTGAGTTAAAATTATTACTTTATTTTGAGATGGCTTGTCAGGTGTACAAAGCCACTTATTAAAAATATTCTCCATTAGCCACCAAATTAAAATATTGCTTTAATTATTTAAAAAAATTCTTTTCTTTTGTTGTCTGGGATTCATTGAAGGTAAAAAGAATTAGGCTACACTGATTGTGGTTGTTAAGTGAAGTCCTTCTTATAATTGTGCCCCGCCCCCAAGATTGTGCTGTACTCTGTGACTCCCCACTCCCCTCCCCTGTACTCTGTGACTCCCCACGCCCCTCCCCTGTACTCTGTGACTCCCCACGCCC